CCCCTGCCAACACCCCCCCCCCCCCCCCCATCCTATCCATCATCACCAACAACTCCACTATCACTCCCGCCCCGCAAGCCAAAGTCCTTGGCGTCATTCTTGACGCAAACCTCTCCCTCCAACCGCATGTCAAATCACTCACAAACACATGCAGGCTCCATCTTCGCAACATTGCCAAGATACGCTCCTTCCTCACCCCAGACACCACCAAACTTCTAGTACACTCCCTCATCATCTCACGCCTTGACTACTGCAACTCCCTCCTCACTGGCCTACCCAAGTGCAGGCTCTCCCCGCTCCAGACCATCCTGAACTCAGCTGCCAGACTCATCCACCTCACCACCCCACAACCCACCGCCCCACCTCTGCCACCCCCCTCTGCCTCTCCCTCCACTGGCTCCCGATTGCCCAACGCATCAAATTTTAACTCCTAACCCTGACCTACAAAGCCGTTCACAACACTGCCCCTGACTACCTCACCAACCTGATCACCAAGTACCACCCTACCCGTACCCTTCGCTCCTCACAGGACCTCCTTCTATCCTGCTCCCTGGTCTCCTCCTCCCATGCACGACTGCAGGACTTTTCCAGGTCCTCCCCCATCCTCTGGAACTCACTGCCCCAATCCATCAGACTGTCGCCTTCCCTATTCACATTCAGGCGCTCCCTCAAAACCCATCTCTTCAGGGAAGCCTACCCCACCCTCACCTAACGGCCATCCTCCCTCATTCCTCCCACCACTTCATCCCCCTCAGCCACTTCCTACTGTACCTTTACCCCCTCCCTCCTAGATTGTAAGCTCGTAAGAGTAGGGCCCTCTTACCCCCTCGTACGTTGTTTGTTGTTGTACTGTGCCATGTATTGTCCCCCCTATTGTACAGCGCTGAGCAAACCCTTTGGCGCTATATAAACTCGTAGTAATAATAATAATAATATATATATATATATATATGTGTGTGTGTGTGTATGTATATATGTGTGTGTGTGTGTGTGTGTGTGTGTGTGTGTGTATATATATATATATATATATATATATTATATATACACACACACACGCAGAAACTTTATTAGGTACACCTTGCTAGTGCCAAGAAAATACCCTCCACACCATCACCAGCTTGAATCGTTGATACAGGGCAGGATGGATCCGTGCTTTCATGTTGTTTACGCCAAATTCTGACCCTACCATCTGAATTTTGCAGAAACCAGTCTGCCATTTCTCCTCTGATATCAACCAGACTTTTTTGTCTACACAGCTGCCACTCACTAGATATTTTCTGTTTCGGACCATTCTCTGTAAATCGTAGAGATGGTTTGTGCGTGAAAATCCCAGTAGATCAGCAGTTTGTGAAATACTCAGACCAGCCCGTCTGGCACCAACAACTATGCCACGTTCAAAGTCACTTAAACCCCCCCCCTTTCTTCCCTATTGCTGGGTTTGAACTCCAGCAAGTTGTCTTAATCATGTCTAGATGCCTAAATGGATTGAGGTTCTGCCATGTGATTGGCTGATTAGCAATTTGTGTTACCAAGCCATTGAGCAGGTGTAGCTGATAAAGTGGCTGGTGAAGAAATATATATATATATATATATATATATATATATATATATATATATATATATAAAATCTTTTTTTTTTTTTTTGGTTCCTTTGCTATATTTTTTCTTTCTGTGATTCTGCTCCCTCTCCTCCTTTCTGTTTTATTTTCCTGTCTTTTCTTTATTTCATTTTCCTTTGGGTTGAAGAAGGAAACCCAGAAATCAGGTAGCCAATATGCCCAAAGTATTACCATGTTCAATGCCTCCTTATATTAAACCTGTCAATAAACATTAAAAAACAGCCACTTACTGGTGAGAGCTGAAGTTTGTATTTACATAATAGAGCCCCTCCAAGTTTAGGGGCTCCTGTGAAGCTTGAGCAGATACATTCAATTAACTCTTGGGGCCCCCTGAACAACATTGCTGTTTAGTGAGAATGTGCATTCTTGATTGGAGTACTGTGCCTAGGGTGTGTTGGAGCACTGGAGATCCAGAACACTGTACTCTGTTAAATTAGCGGTCTGTCTCTCTAGTGTGCTGACAGCACAGGGAAGTTTTTAACTGTTTTATTCACAAACACCTACAAAATCGCATATTCTTCACTTTTTTTTTTTTTCAGCCTATGTATCAAAAATAAAAAGAATATAAACCATTAAATTGTGCTATAAAAAAAATATTAAAAAATGTAAAAATGTTTTGTATAGTTGTAAAGGTTTTTCTGTTTTGCTGCTATTTTGTGTGATACTGTATATACTATTTTCCTCTGTTTGCCCTCTAGGAGCTACGCAATCAGTATGAAGTCTTACAGAAGGACCTATCTGAGGTGTCTCAGGTAGCAGAAGGTGTGAAGCAGAGCACCTCTCCGCCCCAAGTCGTACGTATCCAGGAGGCCCTGGACATGTATCAGTGTAAAATGAAAAGTTATTTGGAGCGACTTGACTATCTGAAAGAAGCAATAGAACAGCCTCCCCTGGTTGATAAAAGCAAGAAAAAGAAACCCAAGAAAGGGACAAAAGAAAAAAATAGGGCATGCTGAAAAATCCACATTAGAACCATCCTTGCAACCTTCTGTGCAACTTATTGAAAAGCACACAGTACCGCCTTCAGTGGATTCTGAGAAGGCTGCAATAGAGCCTTTAGTGCAGCCGGCAGTAAATGTTCCAGCACCTCCACCAGATTCTGCAGTACATCCTGATGTTGAGTTGTCAGTGCAGCCTCCAGACCAGTCTGCAGGTGAGCTTTGGTTAAAACACAGAACATCTTTTGAAGAAAAGCTAGCACTAGATCCTGCAGTAGAACCTGCACAGTGGCCCTCAGTGCAAACGACAGAAGAGTTTCCTATGTACCAAGAGTCAACAGTGCAATATAGAGAGGAATTTTCAATGGAGCTTCCAGTGGAGCCTTTAGAGCTACCAGTAGCAGAGCATTTTAGCCATCCTGCAGCTGAACCGCCCGTGATTTGTGTGGCAAATGTTTTATTGCAGCCTGCACCAGAGCCTTCAGCACAGCCCACAGTAGATCTTACTATGAGACCTTCAGAAGTGGTTTCAGCATTAACTGCAGGAGAACCTTCTGTGTTGCCTGAAACAAAGTATCCTGTGCAACTTGCAGCAAAACCTTCTATTCCACCTACTGCAAAATCTGCAGTGCAGGCTTCAGAAGAACCTTCTGTTCAGCCCGGTGCAAGACCTTCAGCACAGCCTGCAGCAGAGCCTACTGTTCAGCCTGGTTCCAGACCTTCATTGCAGCCTTCAGGACAGCCTTTTGTTCCACCCAATGCAAGTTCTTCAGGGCAGCCTGCACCAGACACTCCTGTTCAGCCTGGTGCAAGACCATTGCAACCTTCAGGAGAACTTTCTATTCAGCCTGGTGCAAGAACTTCAGTACAGCCTACAGCAGAGCTTACTGTTCTGCCTGGTACCAGGCCTTCAGCACAGCCTTCAGAAGAGCCTTTTGTTTCACCCAAAGCAAGTTCTTCATTTCAGCTTGCACCAGAGACTACGGTTTATGCTGGTGAAAGACCTTCAGAAGAGCCTTCTGCTTCACTTGATGCAAGAGATTTAATTCAACCTGCTGAACTGTCCATGTTTCCTGTTGTCAATAGTTTATTGCAGCCTGCACCAGAGCCTTCAGTGCAATCCGAAGTAGATATTATTATGAGACCACCAGATGTTGTTTCAGAATTGACTGCAGAAGAACCTTCATCATTGCCTGAAACAGAGTCTTCTGTGCAACTTACAGCAGAACCTTCTGTTCCACCTGCTGCAAGACCTATACTGCAGCCTTCAGGAGATCTGTCTATTCAGCCTGGTGCAAGACCTTCAGTACAGCCTGCAAAAGAGCTTACTGTTCTGCCTGGTACAAAGCCTTCAGTGCAGCCTTCAGGAGAGCCTTTTATTCCACCAAATGCAAGTTCTTCAGTGCATCCTGCAGCAGAAATTATTGTTTATGCTGGTGAAAGACCTTTGGTGCAACCTGCAGAAGAGCCTTCTGCCTCGCTTGAGGCAAGAGTTTTAATTGAATCTACAGAAGCATCTGTGTTTCCTGTGGCCAAAAGTTTATTGCAGCCCTCAGTGCAACCTAGTGTGGATCTCGCTACGAGACCAGCAGAAGTTGTTTCAGCATTAACTGCATTAGAACCTTCAGTGTTGCCTGAAACAAAGACTTCTGTGCAACTTGCAGCAGAACCTTCTGCTCCGCCTACTGCAAGACCTACCGTGCAACCCTCAGCAGAGGCTTTTGTTCAAACCGATGCAAGTTCTTCTCTGCAGCATGAACCAGAGATTATTGTTCTGCCTGGTGCCAGATCTTCAGTGGAGCCTTCAGAACCTTTTGTTCTACCCAATGAAAGTTCTTCAGTGCAGCCTACATCAGAGACTATTGTTCAGCCTGATACTAGATCTTTAGTGCCATCTCCAGTAGAGTCTTTAGTGAAAACTACAGTAAAGTCTTCAGCAGACGCTTCAGTGCAGCCTTTAGTAGGATCATCTATGTCAACTGTAATTGATTCTGTAGTACCATCTGCAGTGGAGCATACACTTCAACTTACAGTACAACCTGCAGAAAGACCTTCAGCACAGCATGCACCAGAGCCATGTAGGGAAAATGTGGTGGGTCTTTCTTTACAGTACACAGTGGAAGATAAAAAGAAGGATTTAGAGGATCCTTCTGGTGTAGTAGAACTTACCACACATTCCTTAGCTGCTCCTTCAGAGGGAGCTTTGCAGGGCAAAATACAAGCAGTGAAAACTTCAGAGCAAGATGCAGACAATTATGCACCGCAAGTTGTTGTGGAGAATGTAGTGCTCAACATTTTGGCACAGGGAGTGCAAGGCCCAGAGGTACTTAGAGCCCAAGAGGCAGCAGAAAGTGCAGTGGAAGATGCAATGGAACTTGCAGTACAGGATAAAGAAGACCAAACACAGCCTCATCTAGAAGTGTCTACATTTCCTGACAAGCCTTCGTGCTCACCTACTGATCAGCCCCCAGTGCAGCCCAGCAAGTCAGAAATTACAAAGGAAAGAAAAAGTTCTAAAGGAAGAAAAAAGAAAAAGGTAATTTAATTAGATTTCATTTTACAGTGTTCTTGTTACAAAATTGCTTTTACAACAGCAAGGTGCTAAAAATGTATTAGGCTGTCAGATAAACAATTTGGGCCATGACAAATGCGCTAATATGTAGGCATTGATTGTTTCACTGTTTTGCCAATGGTTTTAACTTGTGAACTCTGGGACTGATGTGAAAATAAAATTTTACATATAGTTTTTTTTTTTGTTTTTGTTTTTTTTACCAGTTGATTGCTGCTTCATACACTGTGGACAAGCATGCAGTGAATGGTGTCACTTCACCAGTAGAAAAGAGTTGCACTTTGGATCACAGTGAAGAGGTAAAACATTGAAGGGGATTTGTAATTTTTTAAATATCTTTAACAGAGAAGCATGGGCTTTAGAAAAAACAAAAAAAAACCCATTATACTCACCTAGGTGGATGCAGCATCGATCTGTTGTTTCATCTGTCCCCTGCTGGCTGTGTACTGAGAACTGAGCAATCAAACACTACTCATCAGTCACTGGCTCTCTACTCTGCCCCTCCAGGTCTCACTGGAGCACTGGGCTGTGGAGGGAACTGGAGCAGCTGGCTTAGGCTCTAAGTGGCTTTCTGAGAGGCTGAGCCAGCTGCCGGTCCAGGCTTCTGGGTGGATCCCAACCATATCGGGATCTTTTCAGACCGGCTCTGTGACGTCAGCCAACAGTAGGCTTCAGTGCACTGTTGGCTGAAAACCTGTCATAGGAGTGCAGGACTAACTGCACTCCTGTGATCCATACGAGGGAGTACAGCCAAAAAACTTTGTCTATACTTCTATAAGATACACTTACAAGAGACTGGGCACTCCTATATGTCATGCTTTTTAACCCAACACTAAATGGAATTTTGATTTGATGTGTTCCTGGGCTTGTGACTTTGATCTTCACAGGGTTGGGAGCGCTCATTTATTTGTTGTTTTGTACTTACAAGAGATTGGCTTAAAGGGACCCTGTTACTATACAGAGGTGTCCAAAAAAATTTCTGTAAAGAAGGGTTTATATACTTTATCATTTTTATATGGCTGATAACTTATCTGAAGATATATATATATATATATATATATATATATATATATATATATATATATAGAAATAAATGTACAAAAAAAAACATATAATGTCCTTATTCCCAAATTCCTTAGTGCTCCAACCAAAAAAAAAACTCCTTTCCACCAGATATGGATCAGTTTATCCTTCCAACCAGCTCCACAGTAGTGCAAGAGAAAAAATGTATTTAGTGTAATATTGCTAATACTTCTTTATACTAATAATGATAATACCAGGCCACTCACATTTCAAAAAATCAAAAGCATTGTTTATTTGCCTTCAAACGGCCAAACATCGTTCCCATAGCTTCCACAGACAGATTCAGAAACCTCACAGGCTTCTAGCAGAGGATGACAGAGTGTCTCTCTAACCAACATCAAAGATGGCCGCTTGGAACGCACCGCTTAGCGTGCGTTCCACTCACCGGAAGTTGCCTGCAGACCGGAAGGGCATTTCGCCCCTCTCACAGGGCACTCTCAAGACACCTGTCACCTGGAGGAGTCCTGGAGGCTGTAGAGGGGGTATAGGATCCCTAAAAGTCCTAAAAGGTGTGCAAATCACCAGTATCTGGTGAGTGCGGTTTATGTTGGTTACAGCACTGGTGGATGGTGGAAGTACATACTAAAAGGAGAAAGTTTTTTTTTTTTTTTTTTTTGGTTGGAGCACTAAGGAATTTGGGAATAAGGACTTTTATATGCTTTTTTTTTTGGACGCAAATTTTTTTGGACATTTATGTGTGTGTGTATATATATATATATATATATATATATATATATATATAATCTTTTGATTTTTTTTATATAATTTATTATTATTTATATTATTTGTGAGTTTCGATTTGCGCTGTTTATATGGTTTATATTATTTGGTGTGTTACACTAGTGTACAGCAGCAATTCATACTATATATATTTATTTGGGGGTGTGGTTCTTCTGTGGCGCTGGAGTTTGCAATTCATGATAACTTATCTGAGCTGCAAAAAGAAATGCAGAGGTATTGTTGCTGACCTACCCTAAACTACAATTCGCTATTTTTAATGCTATAACAAAATAAGAAAAAGCAACCATGAAAAAATGTAAGACATATAAACAATTGCTTTGAATTTCAACGTCAGACAAATAGAGATGATACGTATATGGGAGCTGTTTTACCTTCTAGAGGATTTGTATCTCTGCCCATCCAGTTATGAAATTTATACAGTACTGCCACACAGCACAACCCTATCTGGCAATGGAAGACAACCTGATTTTTCTCTGCTGCAGCTAAGTAACCTCTACAGGTCTTATCCCTTCCCCAACCTGTGACTGCGAAATGAGAGATGAAACAGCAGTCTGGTAATATGTCACTCAACATTTCTTAGTACATGAGCGCTACTGTTACAACTGATTGGCTACATGTGCTCCTAGTCTGAGCTCTGTTATACAAAGAGGGCTGATAGCAGGTTAAAATCAAATAATTGTTTACATTTAATGATGTATTGATGAATACAGAGCTGCAATATTTTGTGTCTTGTATCTGGCTGGAGTTCATCTTTAAGGCAAACACTGATGTAAAAAATAAAAATATTAGCTTTCTGAAAATACACTTCAAAGGCAAAGTATACATTTGTTTAGCCAAAACTATTCTTTTTTAGTGGTGGATAGGTTGGGGAAGGATTTTTTTTACTACAAGTACTAAATTCTCTTTCAATTTCCTAGTTTAGACATTTTATTTTACATGTTGAACAGCAGAGGGCAGTGATACTCCAGAGAAAGTTTGCAGAATTTTTTTTTTTGTAACCTTTTTGCTTATACAATGTAACCTTTAATTTCTTTATTTTCGATGTGTCTTATCTTTACTGAATACCTATATAAACGTGCATGCAGCTATTCTGCATGTTAAACAGCAGGGGCAATGAAAACATTGACAAAGTTTGCTTTCAAATAAATAGCATTTAAACTTTTCACTTACATAACCTTTGCTTTCTTTACAGTTTGTGACTTGCCTTGTCTTTACTGAATAATTATACATAAATATATATGCATCAAATGAAGAGGGAGGGGTGAGTCAGATATCAGGTGTTTTCCCCCAATGCAGCCATGAGTTGGTTTGTCACCAAACCATTTTCTTGTTAACTGCTGTCCTTTATCAGTGGTACATAAGTTTCCTAGACGGTCGACATACTGGAAGACATGAAAGTGGTAAAAAACTTTCTGGGAAAAAAATCCTCCTGCAGCATAATACTAACATATTATAAAAGACTTACCTTAAAATGAAGCCCTGCAGCGGCGATCTGTCACCAGTGACAGGGCTTCCATCTTCACCCGGTCTTCTTTCAGGTTTTCTTGCTCCGGCCATTGGAATGGCTGAGCCGCAATGATGTCATGCGCACAGGAACCATTGCTGCGGCACAGCGCTCTGAAGAGATGGCATGTCCTCCCTTCAGAGCGTATGCGCTGATGACATCACTGGCTACAAAAGTAGTGAATGTCTCCTAAACGGTGCACATTTAGGAGATATTCCTTATACCTACAGAGAAGCTTTATTATAAGCTTACCCAGGGCTGTGGATAAGGGGGTACCACCAGTCCTCCAGTACGGGCCAGCAGGGGGGGCCTAGGCAGCTGGGTGAATCTGATGTGGACAGTGAGGGTAATCGGCAAAGCGGGGTGGGCAGTTACTGGAACCGATCCCCTGTATGGCTCTCTCTATAGCAGCTGAAAGCTGGCTTCTTCTCCTCTCCTTCCCACTGGCTTTCAGCTGCTGCAAAGGGAGCCATATAGGGGATCGATTCCAGTAACTGACCCTCCACCGCACCCATCATCCTCTGCACCATACGATTTCCCTTGCTGCCCAGTCCCCCCCGTGTGCCCCCACTCCCACAGTGCTGCCGGCTTCCTTCCTCTCCTTTCTACCGACAGCTACAAGCACACAAAAGGATCCTTTAGGATAGAGGGTGGGGGAAGGGTCCAGTAAACATCACATTTACCAGCCCCTTCCTTTCCTGAATGAGCACAATGATCGGTACCAATCACTCACTGTGTTCATTCATAACTGAAGCATAGTAAACAACAGGGGGGGGGGGCTGTCAGGGTGGCGGTATGGGGCCCCATGGTTTCTAGCAGCCCTGAGCTTACCTATAGGAAAGTGAGCAAGTGTTTTTTTTACTACCGGTTGAAGTATATGAGAATATTTTTTTTTTTGTCAACTTTGTCACCAGTTTGTTGCATCTCCTCCAACCTCTTTCAGCTGCTTGCACTCATCCTAGTGTCAACTGCATACCGTTTCTCTGGAGTGCTTGCATTCTCCACCAGAGGTCATGCGAGAAGGTGACAATGCTGGAGGACAAATGGAAGACCGCTATCACTCCATGACAGGAAGTGCCTGAACATGGATGTTCATGGCAGGATCACCAGTGCTTATTTAACAAAAGCTGCAGATTTTAAATGATTAAATATAATTTTTGAAATTATTATGTTAAAGCCTTTAAAGAATTTAGTAATTGGGTTTAGCCCTACTTTAAGTGAAAGTAGGCATGTGCACCTGTGTAAAATCAAGGATTACAAATGACTGTAAACTTTACTATCGGGTTGTACAACCCCAATTCCAAAAAAATTGGGATGCTGCATAAAATCTATATAAAAAGAGTGATGATTTGAAAATCTCATAAACCCATATTGTATTCACAATAAAAAAATAGAAAATACATCAAATGTTTAAACTGAAAAAAAAATACAATTATAAGAAAAAAATAAGGTAATTTTGAAATTGATGGCAGCAACACATCTTAAAAATTTGGGACAGGGCAGCAAAAAAAGCTGGCAAAACTAGTGGTGCTAACAAGGAAGAGCTGGAAGAATGTTACAACTAATAAGGGCAATTGGCAATAGGTCAGTAACATGATTGGGTATAAAAAGAGCATCTTAGAGAGTCTGAGTGTCTCAGGAGTAAAGATGGGCAGATGTGCACCAATCTGTGAAAAGCTATGTTGAAAAATGTTAGAACAATTTCAGAGTAATGTTCTTTAGCGTACAATTTCAAAGCCTTTAAAAATATAATCTACAGTACATAGTATCATCAAAAAAGATACCAAAAATATGGAGAAATCTGTGCACAGTGGATGAGGCCAAAACACAATATTGGATGCCTGTGATTTCAGGCCTTCAGATGGCACTACATAAAAACAGGCATGATTCTGTGATTGACATCACTGCATAGGCTCAGGAATACTTCCAAAATTCACTGTGAACACAGTTTGCCGTGCTACCAAAAATTCAAGATAAAGCTCTATCATGCAAGGAAGAAGCCATATCTGAACATGATCCAAAATGCTTACAAACAAATTAGCTTGCGAGCCACTGAGGTATATTATGAAGGTATAAGTACTAGATCGCTGGTTAATTAGCCCACGCTCTTCTAATGTGCATTTTTGAGAAATTAATTTAAATATTAACCGCGCTATAATATCCACAAAACAAATAAATCAAAAGTGCTATGTGCTTATAAATAAATAAAATATAAAAATAAATGGTGTATCATGATTGAAATTTGTGAAAACATATAAATTAATATTGAACGTAGCTAATTATATAAAATAATTCATATCTTACTAATACATCACAAAATGTGCAATCCTTATGACAATGTGCAATGTGCAAATTTCCCTCTGTGAAAAAACTTGTAATTTAATAAATAAAATAAAAAAGTTAATAAGAAGTGATAAATAAAAATTATATAAGGAGTGTTTTTTTTAAAATAATCATAAAAAGTTAAGTCTCTAAATAAATGACAATTATCTCCCACTGTGCAAAAGTGAATGTCCAGCTTTGATGGATATACTCTCCTTCTGTATGAAGATCTAATCTTTGCTGTGATGTTGAGAACCTGTGTGGCTGCAGGACTGAGGGATACTCCCTTCTTTGATCCACTCCTTAGTCCTCTGCCTTGATATTCCTCGTGTATAACATGTAAGAAAAGGAATAAAAGATATGGTGCCTTATCCTAGGGGTAAAACAGCCTTTTATTGTGCTTCTCTATTGCACTCACATTTTAAAAGTAACAAAAGCGCTTTGCATATATAAAAATTCCCGCAGCTTGTAGCTGAATCAAACGAATGGTGTGTGAACACACCCTCCGTACTCACTGTATGGTTGTTAGATTGCGCGATGACGTCACTGCCCCTCCCCAACGCGTTGCGCTACAGGGATTGTCACACATCCCCCGGACGAAGCTACGAAATCCCTGTAGCGCAACGCGTTGGGGAGGGGCAGTGACGTCATCGCGCAATCTAACAACATGTTATACACGAGGAATATCAAGGCAGAGGACTAAGGAGTGGATCAAAGAAGGGAGCGCAGCACAATAATTTATTTACTTAACTGGCCTGCTTGCAGTCCAGACCTTTCACCAATTGAAAATATTTGGTGCATTTTAAAATGAAAATTATGACAGAGCCAGGACTGTTGAGCAGTTAGAATCCTATATCAGGCAAGAATGGACAGCATTCCTCTTCCAAAACTCCAGTAACTGGTTGCCTCAGTTTCTAGACATTTAAAGAGTGGTGTTTAAAGAGAAGGGTGCTACACCATGGTAAACATGACCCTATCAAAACGTTTTTGAGACACGTTTTGTTGCCATCAATTTTTAAATAACCTTATTAATTTCCTAAAATGGTACATTTTTCTTAATTTAAAGAATATGTAAAACCAACCTTTCATACTCCTGATATGTGCCTGCTGTTCCATGTACTAGTATGGAGAAGTATCCTGTTCTCTTTGTATTGCTTCCTTTGTGTGAAATCCCTGGTGTTCCTGCCAGACCCTCTGCTTTCCTATTAAAAAGTGACCACACTAGGCAGGAGAACACAGTGTTCAGTTCTCTAGCTGTGGTAGGAACTCAGTCTGCTCTCTTCCAATAATCAGACTTTCCCTGCACAGCCTCTCACTGGGAAGGTCTGTGTGCTGCTGCTTCTCCTCCTCCCCTAGCTCTTAGACTACACGTACACTGGCCTACCCTTAAACGTAATTTTCCTGGCTGCAGAAAAACACTACATGCGATAAAAAAGCTGTAAAATGTTTTTGCCGCATTTAGCGCTTGGAATTTATTAATTTCATTGGCCATAGTACTTGCCATTAAAATGAGTAAACGCCCAAATGTTAAACTTGGCTATCACTTAGGCGCATTTACACATGTTTTTGCTGTGTTTGCCATCTTTTGGTCAAAACATTCCTTTCCTAAACGAGATTCTTCTGTGTTCAGGAGAGGGACGTTTAACTGCCCCTAAATCCTGCTGCTCCTGAACTCTGATAAAAGCCTATGTCTGCATGGACACACAGATTTTTGTTGAGGTCATGTGCTTTCGCAAAAAAAGACCAAAACCTCCTAAACTCACATGAAGCCTTAGGCAGCTGAGAACAGACTGTATTTGATCACTTATAATATAATTTTTTTTTTTATGAATACACGTTTTGCGTTTCATTTCTATTTTAAACTGAATGGGTTGTTTTACAAGGTGAGGGTTTATAATCCCTTTAAACATTTTATGTTTTCTATTGATTAAATTATGGGTTTGATTGATGATAATATGGGTTTGAGATTTGCATTTTATGCATTCTGCTTTATGTAGATTTTACGCTGCTTCCCAACTTTTTTTTTTTTGCTAGGGGTTCTTTGCGAGTAGAGCAATTTTTGCCTCTCAGGTATGTAACCTCTGACACCAATGATATATTTAGCTATCTATAAGGAAGACATTTTTCCCTTTCACTGTTTCAGTGTGCTACTTTCACACTGAGGAGTTTTTGAAGTGTTTTTGTGTTAAAAAAGCACCTAAAAAGCTCAAGAAAAATGCTTGTCTATGTATCTGAATGTATATCTATGTATGTTTTTACACTGAGGCATTGTGCTTGCGGTGCGGCATAAAAACTTCTGCTTGCAGCATCTTTGGCATAGCCCCAGAAACGCCTCCTCCCATTGAAATCGGTGGAAACCGCCTGAAAAGTGTCTCAAAAATGCCTCTGGGAAGTGTTTTTGGAGCAGTTTTTAAGTCACATGTCCTTTTAAAAACACTCAGAGCGGTAAAAAAGCCTATGCGTTTTTGCGGTGGATCAGTGTGAAAGTAGCCTTAAGAGGAAGGATCATTCTTCCTTCGAACCACCACACTATTGTATCAGGCACTGTAGGTATAGTAATTTTTGGCAGGAGTTCCCAGAGACTGGAAAGTTATTTCAAGGGTTTCAACAGGTTAAAAAATTAGAGAAAGGCTGGTCTAGGAGCTTTGCAAGCAGTTCATATTTTATTCCGCCTTTTAAAAACGTCACTCCTAGACCTGGTTCACAGCCAGGCAGATAGCAATTAAAAGCTTTGCTTCTATAAATATTTTAAGAAAAAATATCATTACAAATTTTTTCTAGATTGTTCTGCCCCCCATGGGACAAAGTACATGTAGCACGTGATATAGTCCAAACTGCCCCCCTCTTTATCTGGCAAGTCCGACGACATCTTGTAAGGAGAAGGATCCATTGTAGCTGCAGCTTGTCTCAGCTCAGAGCACTTTACTGAGACATGAGGGAGAAGGGACAAGTCGACCACTGTCTCTCTGCATTCCTGTGCTGCAGCTTGTTTAGGGAATGTTTTCTGGGCCCAGGGGCGGACTGACAACCCATGGGGCCCTCGGGCAATAGGAGATCATGGGGCCCCTGTGTCCTTGCCCAAACTCAAAAAAGCCTGTGAAAAAGGTACCAGGGGCATCTCATGGGGCCCCCTACTGACCCCAGGCCCTCAGGCAGCGTCCAAGTTTCCAAATGGTCAGTCCGCCCCTGTCTGGGCCCGAGACAAGCTGCAGTTATTATGGATCAGTTTCTTTCCAAGGTGTTATCTGGTTTACTGAGCTGGGGGGGGAGGGGGGGGGTTTAAGGTTGGATGTCATAACAAGATTTAGGAGGAAGCAACTAACCACATGGGATAAAAAAACTACATGTACTTTGTTCCGTTGGAGGTGAGGGGTGGGAAACTATATAAAATGATTTGTAATGATGGTTCTTTAAAAATTTGTTGTTGTATGAAAAAGAAGCTTTAGCTGCAATACTTGCCTTCACCTTGGTGCTGACCCCTGAAGTAATTCCTTTTGTCCACTGGATGTCCTTGGTCTTTTGGGGTTTCTCCAGCACCATTCAACCCACTTCCTGGGAACATCATCACTCCTGCCTTGGCTTACAGAAGAATGATGTAGAGATTGGAGCTATGTTATTACATAGCATCTCTCTGCAGTGTTCAGGATCTGCCCACCGCTGGAGGAAGAGGACCCATGACATCACATGACTGGACCAAGGACACCTAGAAAAAAAGTGTGTGTTGATTTTTTTGGGTTTTTTTTTTTAAATAGTGTGGTTGGTAAGGAGTAGGGAGAAGATAGGGGAAGGTAAGTCAAAACTAGAGTTTGGTTTAGGGAGGTCAGCAGTGTTGGCTTCCATACTCGATCAGTACAGGTTTCCTCTCTGTCTTATGGTCTATAGGTTCTCTAAATGTTCCTTTCAGTAATCTGCGTTGGACCTTCTTCGACTTTCTCCTAAAACAAGAGAGTCAATTTGCAGTGGAAATTGCTTTTTCTTTACTTTTTTAGTTATTTTTTAAGTTCTTTTTAAAGGTTCTCTGGCTTAGTTTTTTATGTCTTCTCTGAATGCTTCTAACCTTGCTTATTAATGCTATTTAATATGTTCTTTTTGACAGGATGTGAGTGCGGAATCTGTTCAAAAGAAAATTAATCAGGATGGTTTGGACAGTTTGAAACAAGTTGCCAAGGTAAATGCTTTGGAGGAGTGCGTGAAAGTAACTGAAGAACAGCGAGAGGCCATTGGTCAACTTCAACTGCAGCTCAATGATTGTGATTTCTTTAGGAGGTAAGTGCGGGTCATCCTTTTGAGCAGTTGATGTGTTATACGTATTAAATGCTGTGTTAAGAAATCTTCTGAAAGTTTACTGGGTGGAATCACAAAGCCATTATTAGAATAATGAAGCTGTCTCGTTTGTGGCATTCTAGAACTGAATATCACTACCTGTGGAGGAGACAATTTTCCCTTCCTGGAGATTTCACATTTTTAGTTGTTGAATGATTGGGTCTAAAATTTGAAGATGTAAATGCCGTCTTGCATTAAATCTTCCTTCATTTAACCATTTTATGCAATGTTGTAATGCTGCAAGGATTGATGGGTTAGAATTTTTCCATTTGAAATGTTCCGGCTGAGATGACTTCTAGTCAACATGACTAATCTCTTTATTGGTGTCGGTCTAGTTCCTCTTAAGAGTATTTATCTAAACCTCCCAAAAACTAAATATATGTTAGTTTACCAGCCCTTCGATTATGTGGCAGCATTAGTCTTTTTCCAGTTATTTTCACCTGGTAATCCTACAAAGAACACATTTCCTGTCCTAGGGTGACTACACTATTTTACTGTATCAATGGGAGAAGTCTTGATTATCACCCGGGTTGTACTTCAAACATACTTGTCCATGTTCATCTCCATTACATTGGGTAGAATAGGATTAGTAGTTTTCAGAAGGAAGGTAACATTGTTTAATGCTTCCAGTTCAGCTCGCAGGAAGTGACAAGGACATTGTATTTCTGGGAAAATCAACAGATAATTTCTGTATGTTTAAAAAATGTTCTTAGCCAGAAAATCCAAAACTAATGTAGCCACCACATCTTGACACTGCAACAGATTACATTTTTGTTATTGGGTTTAATTATTTTTTAATGATGACCTGAGCATTTTTGATGCCCCTTCCATGATTTCAGATCCACCTAAAAATTGCAGGAGCCAGTTGCAATGTGGCCAGTTCTGCTCAATAAAAATACACCAATCAGCAATAACTTTATTACCACCCACCCTGATATTTAGTAGGTTCCCTTTTGCCACCAAAACAGCCCTGACCCATCAAGGCATGGACTCCACTAGACCCTGGAAAGTATGCTGTGGTATCTGGCACCAAACCATCAGTAGCAGATCCTTTAAGTCCTGAAAGTTGTGAGGTGAGGCGTCCATGGATCGAACTTGTTTTTCCAGCACATCCCACAGATGCTTGATTGGATTGAGATCTGGAGGCCAAGTCAGTACCTCAAACTTGTTGAGTTCCCCAAACCATTTAACCATTTTTTGCAGTGCAGCGAGGTGCATTATCTTGCTAAAAGAGGCCACTGTCATTAGGGAATACTGTTTCCATGAAGTGGTGTACTTGGTCTTTTTTTTTTTTTTTTTGTCAGGTCAGATGTCTAGCACAACCTAGGCAGGATGGTGCTGTGATCATCACTCCTCTTTTTTTTTTTTTACAAATATTTATTAAATCTTTCAAATCGCATACAAAAAAAACCTTTCAACATTTCTATTAAACTCGTTGTCTAAAAAAACATTATTCTCCTCACAATTTATTTATATATAACTTCCATTTTTTTTTTTTTTTTTACTATTCCCCTCACCCGAGAACCTCCCCCCCATCCTCTTAACCCCTCCCTCCTCCCCCCTCCCCCCCATGCTCCACCTTTTCTCTTCCCGGATAAATTCCATATTATTCTGATGTTCCTAAACCCATTTCTAAATCTCTTCCTAAGGTATTATCTCATTATATATTTTGCCTTTTCTCTGTATTCTTCCCAGCCTTTCCATTTTTTATTATACAGCTCTAATTTGTCCTCATGCATATAAAACAATTTTTCTGTCTCTGAGATCTGGTTTACTCGACCCCTCCAATCCTCCTCAGTTGGCACCTCCCTTTTCTTCCAAAACCTGGGAATCAGACTCTTTGCTGCGGTCAAATAATGCCATATCCCCGAACTCTCATATGCTTTCACTGAGAGTTCTGAGATATGGAGGAGACATAATTCTGGATCTAATCCTATTTTGATTTTAGTGATTTTCCCTATCAAACTATCCTCTGCCAGAACACCTGTATTTCTGGACACTCCCACCACATATGGTACCACGTGCCCACCTCTCCACAACCTCTCCAACACGTCTGTGAAATTTCCATATTCATCTTGTGTTCCACATTAGGGGTAATGTGCCACCTATTCAAACACTTATAATTTATTTCTACTTCCCGCATGCTAATATTATCGTGTATTAGTGTAAGCATTTTTTTCCTCTGTTCCTCCTCCTCTATCTTTCTTCCCATATCTTTTTCCCATTTCTCTATGTGAATTAATTTTGTGTCTGTGTCAAGATCCATTAATATCTTATGTATTTTTGCCATTCCGTGTCTACCATTTCCCCGTGACTCAAATATTCTCTCAAATGGATTCCAGTCTTTTCTAGTTCTTATGGGCTTTGGAAGGCTCTCAAAAAAATACTTCAGTTGGTAATATCTTAATAGTGGTGTACTTGGTCAACAACAATGTTAGGTACTGTAGGTGCTACATGTCAAAGTAACATCCACATGAATGGCAGAACCCAAGGATTCCCAATAGAACATTATCCAAAGCATTACACTGCCTCAGCTTGTCTTCTTCCCATAATGCATCCTGGTGCCTTCTCAACTCCAGGTAAGTGACACACATACACCTGGCCATTCACATGATGGAAAAGAAAAAATGACTCATCAGACCAGGCCACCTTCTTCCACTACTCCGTTGTCCAGTCCTAATGTTCACATTACCATTGTACGAACTTTTGGCTGTAGATATGGGTCAGCATGGGCACCCTGAACAGTCTGTGGCTACACAGCCCCATGCACAACGAACTGGGATGGTCATTCTTTCTGCTTTTAACACATCAGCTTCAGGGACAACATATTGACTTGCTGCCTAATATATCCTATGACTTTCACATGCCATTCTAATGGGATAATCAATGTTATTCACTTTACCTGTCAGTTGTCAGTGTTATGGTTGGTTAGTGTATGTCTGGGGTCTCCGGTAAAAGCTAACATTTTGGATTCATTTGCTTCTTTAATAATAACCTGATAACCTATCCAAATTACTCTTTCTTGTAGCTATAATTTATTTTAAACTGTCCATGAGATCATTTTGTAATTTGCCACTTATTTCTCACCAGGCAACTAGAGACCTCGCTAAGCGACTTGCCGGCCAGCGACAATGAGTCCCTTCGAATCTTTGCTCTGCTAACTACAGTGGAGGAGAGACTGCGCCAGGCTGAAATGCTTTCAGATGACGGGGAAAGAGTTGTTATTATAAATGAGGTCCAGGTAAGAGTTCAGTGTGTGCATCCTCTAATCTTCTGTCTGTGTGTTCCAGTAGTGTAAAATTAGTAGCAGTTATATGTTTGAGGTTGACCTTTACATCTTTTTGGCATCTTTCAGTTTTCATATAAGATTGGGGTGATAAAATGTCTAATTTCCCTAAGCAGTTAGTACCTTTTTTTCCTCATATAAATGTCAAACGATTTTTCATTTCATCAAGGCTCTACATATTGGTTTGCATTATCGTCTTTATACTGCTTACCGATTACCTATTCGGTTAATCATTACTGTATGTGCGGATTATCAGTAATTTTACAGGATAGTTATAGTGTTCTTTAGGCAAAGTTAAACTGTATAATTGCAATCCTAGTTTTTTCCTTGCAAGCCACTGTCAAGCTGCAGTATTTGAAGTCTGCACAAAGGCAAGGCCATAGCTTAGTTTGTGAGACCAGTTATTGAGTACCACTCTCTACTTCATTTTATTGATGGCTGCCCCATTTTGTTTTTTTTTTCCTATTAAGAATCTGTAATAGCCAGAATGATACGAAACTTTGTAAAATAAAAATTGTACTTCTTTTACACCTCTTAAATTGCTACGGTCAGAAAGAAAGGACATGTTTTAGCACAATATACAGTCAGGTCCATAAATATTGGGACATCGACACAATTCTAACATTTTTGGCTCTATACACCACCACAATGGATTTGAAATGAAACAAACAAGATGTGCTTTAACTGCAGACTCTCAGCTTTAATTTGAGGGCATTTACATCCATATCAGGTGAACGGTGTAGGAATTACAACAGTTTGCATATGTGCCTCCCACTTGTTAAGGAACCAAAAGTAATGGGACAGAATAATAATCATAAATCAAACTTTCACTTTTTAATACTTGGTTGCAAATCCTTTGCAGTCAATTACAGCCTGAAGTCTGGAACGCATAGACATCACCAGACGCTGGTTTTCATCCCTGCTGATGCTCTGCCAGGCTTCTACTGCAACTGTCTTCAGTTCCTGCTTGTTCTTGGGGCATTTTCCCTTCAGTTTTGTCTTCAGCAAGTGAAATGCATGCTCAATCAGATTCAGGTCAGGTGATTGACTTGGCCATTGCAGAACATTCCACTTCTTTCCCTTAAAAAACTCTTTGGTTGCTTTTGCAGTATGCTTTGGGTCATTGTCCATCTGCACTGTGAAGCGTCCAATGAGTTGTGAAGCATTTGGCTGAATATGAGCAGATAATATTCCCGAAACACTTCAGAATTCATCCTGCTGCTTTTGTCAGCAGTCACATCATCAATAAATACAAGAGAACCAGTTCCATTGGCAGCCATACATGCCCACGCCATGACACTACCACCACCATGCTTCACTGATGAGGTGGTATGCTTAGGATCATGAGCAGTTCCTTTCCTTCTCCATACTCTTCTCTTCCCATCACTCTGGTACAAGGTGATCTCGGTCTCATCTGTCCATAGGATGTTGTTCCAGAACTGTGAAGGCTTTTTTAGATGTTGTTTGGAAAACTCTAATCTGGCCTTCCTGTTTTCGAAGCTCACCAATGGTTTACATCTTGTGGTGAACCCTCTGTATTCTCTTGATTGTTGACTTTGACACACATACACCTACCTCCTGGAGAGTGTTCTTGATCTGGCCAACTGTTGTGAAGGGTGTTTTCTTCACCAGGGAAAGAATTCTTCGGTCAACCACCACAGTTGTTTTCCATGGTCTTCCGGGTCTTTTGGTGTTGCTGAGCTCACCGGTGCGTTCCTTCTTTTTAGGAATGTTCCAAACAGTTGTTTTGGCCACGCCTAATGTTTTTGCTATCTCTCTGATGGGTTTGTTTTGTTTTTTCAGCCTAATGATGGCTTGCTTCACTGATAGTGACCGCTCTTTGGATCTCATCTTGAGAGTTCACAGCAATACATTCCAAATGCAAATAGCACACTTGAAATGAACTCTGGACCTTTTATCTGCTCATTGTAATTGGGATAATGAGGGAATAACACACACCTGGCCATGGAACAGCTAAGAATCCAATTGTCCCATTACTTTCGGTCCCTTAACAAGTGGGAGGCACATATGCAAACTGTTGTAATTCCTACACCGTTCACCTGATTTGGATGTAAATACCCTCAAATTAAAGCTGAGAGTCTGCAGTTAAAGCACATCTTGTTAGTTTCATTTCAAATCCATTGTGGTGGTGTATAGAGCCAAAAATGTTAGAATTGTGTCCATGTCCCAATATTTATGGACCTGACTGTAAGTACGGTAAGGACACAATCCTACCCTGCCCCCAGTTACATAGGCCATAAATCATTAATATGCAAAAAATGACTGGTAAACGCCTAGGTGATTTTTTTTTTTTTTGGCCACTAAATTTTATTTATATCGGCTTTTCAAAATAACGAACAATAACTGCGAGTTCAGAGCATGGGTAGGCAACCTTTTGAGCGCGCCAGAAAATGTTTGTAAGAAATTGAGAGCTCCAGGCGTGCAACATGAAATATCTACTTCACATTCTAAACAAAAATTTTTTTAGCAAGTAAATATTGGTGCTATAAGCTAGATTCTGCAATATTAACCCCCAGCATCTCTGTCTGAGACTGAAATAATAACCCTTAACATCGGTGTCAGTGACTGAGATATCCCTCCAACATTGGTGTCAGTGACTAAAACAACCCCCGACATGAGTGTCGGTCATTGAAATAACATACCTCCCGACTTTTGAATTAGATATAGAAGGGCAGCCTAGAAGAGGGATAATGAGGCACGTGAAGCCCAGTGAGAAGTGGGTATACATATATATATATATATATATATATATCTATCTATCTATACCTAAATGTTGGGTGTGGTTTAAAAGGGTATTGGTAAATAGTCTACTCACAGTATACTGCTCACAGCATGTACTGCACATTTGCCCCTGTCCTTGTATTAATACTGGGACTATTTAGTAACATGAGTAATTAACACAAATGCAAAGGTCAGTGGCAGTGCAGAGTGGAGAGGTCAGTAATATATAGTGCAGAGTACAGGGGTTAGTAGTATGCAATGCAGAGTGGAGAGGTCAGTAATATATAGTGGAGAGGTCAGTAATATATAATGCAGAGTACAGGGGTTAGTAGTATGCAATGCAGAGTGGAGAGGTCAGTAATACAGTCAGGTCCATAAATATTGGGACATCAACACAATTCTAAAATTTGTGGCTCTATACACCACCACAATGGATTTGAAATGAAACAAACAAGATGTGTTTTAACTGCAGACTGTCAGCTTTAATTTGAGGGTATTTACATCTAAATCAGGTGAACGGTGTAGGAATTACAAAAGTTTGCATATGTGCCTCCCACTTGTTAAGGGACCAAAAGTAATGGGACAGAATAATAATCATAAATCAAACTTTCACTTTTTAATACTTGGTTGAAAATTCTTTGCAGTCAATTACAGCCTGAAGTCTGGAACGCATAGACATCACCAGGCGCTGGGTTTCATCCCTGGTGATGCTCTGCCAGGCCTCTACTGCAACTGTCTTCAGTTCCTGCTTGTGCTTGGGGCATTTTCCCTTCAGTTTTGTCTTCAGCAAGTGAAATGCATGCTCAATCGGATTCAGGTCAGGTGACTGACTTGGCCATTGCATAACATTCCACTTCTTTCCCTTAAAAAAACTCTTTGGTTGCTTTTGCAGTATGCTTTGGGTCATTGTCCATCTGCACTGTGAAGCGGCGTCCAATGAGTTCTGAAGCATTTGGCTGAATATGAGCAGATAATATTGCCCAAAACATTTCAGAATTCATCCTGCTGCTTTTGTCAGATCATCAATAAATACAAGAGAACCAGTTCCATTGGCAGCCATACATGCCCACGCCATGTCACTACCACCACCATGCTTCACTGATGAGGTGGTATGCTTAGGATCATGAGCAGTTCCTTTCCTTCTCCATACTCTTCTCTTCCCATCACTCAGGTACAAGTTGATCTTGGTCTCATCTGTCCATAGGATGTTGTTCCAGAACTGTGAAGGCTTTTTTAGATGTCGTTTGGCAAACTCTAATCAGGCCTTCCTGTTTTTGAGGCTCAGCAATGGTTTACATCTTGTGGTGAACCCTCTGTATTCACTCTGGTGAAGTCTTCTCTTGATTGTTGACTTTGACACACATACACCTACCTCCTGGAGAGTGTTCTTGATCTGGCCAACTGTTGTGAAGGGTGTTTTCTTCACCAGGGAAAGAATTCTTCAGTCATCCACCACAGTTATTTTCCGTGGTCTTCCGGGTCTTTTGGTGTTGCTGAGCTCACCGGTGCGTTCCTTCTTTTTAAGAATGTTCCAAACAGTTGTTTTGGCCACACCTAATGTTTTTGCTATCTCTCTGATGGGTTTGTTTTGTTTTTTCAGCCTAATGATGGCTTGCTTCACTGATAGTGACAGCTCTTTGGATCTCATCTTGAGAGTTGACAGCAACAGATTCCAAATGCAAATAGCACACTTGAAATGAACTCTGGACCTTTTATCTGCTCATTGTAATTGGGATAATGAGGGAATAACACACACCTGGCCATGGAACAGCTGAGAAGCCAATTGTCCCATTACTTTTGGTCCCTTAACAAGTGGGAGGCACATATGCAAACTGTTGTAATTCCTACACCGTTCACCTGATTTGGATGTAAATATTCTCAAATTAAAGCTGACAGTCTTCTGGTAAAGCACATCTTGTTCATTTAATTTCAAATCCATTGTGGTGGTGTATAGAGCCAAAAAATTTTAGAATTGTGTCGATGTCCCAATATTTATGGACCTGACTGTATATAGTGCAGAGTACAGGGGTTAGTAGTATGCAATGCAGAGTGGAGAGGTCAGTAATATATAATGCAGAGTACAGGGGTTA